CCTTCGTTTCTCATTCTATCTTTTTCTTCCTATTTTCGTTTTATACCCATCAAAATTTGAGCTCTTCTTAATTGTTCTTCTCTGTTCTTTTATACAGAATGGACCACCTTTTCCTAGACCATACCCTTTGAATTATTTGATCTTCTGTGTGAACCTTTGAAATGAAACTCATACCTGTAAAACATTCTGCAATGGCTTCCGTTTGGATGTGCCATTTCTTTCTGTTACTGTCCATACTAGATACTTCTTTTATTGCAACTATGGCCAATAATGCAACAGATTCCTACTGGCTTATCAGAATTAAATCAGAGTTGGTAGATCCATCGGGAGCACTTGGCAACTGGTCTCCGACAGCTCATGTCTGCAACTGGAATGGAATAACATGTGCAGTTGATCAGGAATATGTTATTGGCCTGAATCTGTCTGGTTCAGGAATATCCGGTTCCATTTCAGTTGAGTTCAGACACCTCTCTTTTATTCAAACACTTGATTTGTCTTCAAATTCTCTTTCTGGCTACATCCCTTCGGAGCTGGGTCAGCTTCAAAATCTAAGAATATTGCAACTATACTCAAATGATCTCTCTGGGAACATTCCTGCAGAGATAGGTAACATGAGGAAGTTACAAATTCTTAGAATAGGTGACAACATGTTGACTGGTGAAATTCCACCTAGTATTGCCAATATGAGTGAATTGACAGTTTTGGCAATAGGATACTGCCACTTGAACGGAAGCATACCAGTTGGGATCGGTAAATTGAAACATCTAATATCCCTTGATTTAGAAATGAACAGACTCAGTGGCCCCATACCTGAAGAGATTCAAGGCTGTGAAGAGCTCCAAAACTTTGCAGCATCAAACAACATGCTTGAAGGAGACATACCTTTCTCTATGGGGTCGCTTAAATCATTAAAAATTCTGAACCTGGCCAATAACAGTTTGTCTGGGTCAATTCCTCCTGCTTTGAGTCATCTTTCTAACTTGACATACCTGAATTTGCTTGGAAACAAACTACATGGACAAATCCCTTCTGTTCTTAATAGTCTGATTCAGCTGCAGAAGTTGGACTTGTCCAAAAACAACCTCTCTGGATCAATACCTCTCCTTAATGTAGAATTGCAGAGTCTTGAAACTCTTGTTCTGTCTGATAATGCTCTGACTGGTAGCGTTCCAAGTAACTTCTGCCTCAGAGGTTCAAAGCTTCGGGAACTCTTTTTGGCTAGAAACATGCTCTCTGGCAAGTTTCCTTTGGAGTTGCTCAACTGCCCCTCAATCCAACAGTTGGACCTTTCTGATAACAGTTTTGAAGGAGAACTTCCTGCAAGCCTGGACAAACTGAATAACCTCACAGATCTTGTTCTCAACAACAACAGCTTTGTTGGACCTCTCCCTCCTGAAATTGGAAACATTAGTAGCTTAGAGGGTCTTTTCCTATTTGGTAACTTCTTGACAGGTAAAATTCCAACGGAGATTGGAAGGCTGCAGAGATTGAGCACCATTTACCTCTATGACAACCAGATGTCTGGACTCATACCAAGAGAGATAACAAACTGCACAAGCTTAGAGGAAATTGACTTCTTTGGAAATCACTTTACAGGGCCCATTCCAGAGACTATAGGTAAGCTCAAGAAATTAGTTGTTCTGCATCTTAGGCAGAATGATTTGTCTGGTCCGATCCCACCAAGCATGGGGTACTGTAAAAACCTTCAGATATTGGCCTTAGCAGATAACATATTGTCTGGTTCCATTCCATCTACATTCAGTTACCTCTCGGAGCTCACCAAAATTACCCTTTACAACAACTCCTTTGAAGGACCTCTCCCTCATTCACTCTCTTCTCTCAAAAGCCTGAAAATCATCAACTTTTCACACAACAAGTTCAGTGGAAGTTTCTTTCCTCTCACTGGTTCAAATTCTCTAACCATTCTGGACTTGACCAACAACAGCTTCTCAGGTCCCATCCCTTCCACTCTAGCCAATTCTAGAAACCTCAGCCGTCTCAGACTTGGACAAAATTATCTCACTGGAAGCATTCCTTCTGAATTTGACCAACTCACTGAGCTCAATTTTCTTGATTTATCATTCAACAATTTAACAGGAGAGATGCCACCTCAACTCTCAAACTCCAAGAAAATTGAACACATCCTCATGAGTAACAACAGGTTGAGTGGCAAACTACCTGTTTGGTTGGGAAGCTTACAAGAACTTGGTGAGTTAGATCTCTCATACAATAACTTCAGTGGTAGGGTACCTTCTGAGCTTGGTAACTGCTCAAAATTGCTCAAGCTTTCTCTCCATCACAACAATCTGTCCGGTGAAATCCCCTTAGAGCTTGGAAACCTCACTGCCCTCAATGTCTTCAATTTGCAAAGGAACGGATTCTCTGGCCCCATTCCTCCGACAATTCAGCAATGCACAAAACTGTATGAGCTTAGGCTCTCAGAGAACTTTTTAACAGGTACCATACCAGTTGAGCTAGGAGGGCTTGCTGAGTTGCAAGTGATTTTGGACTTGAGTAAAAATCTCTTCACTGGTGAGATTCCACCATCTCTAGGAAACCTCGTGAAGCTAGAAAGACTCAACCTCTCTTTCAACCAACTTGAAGGGAAAGTTCCTCCTTCACTGGGCAAACTCACAAGCCTGCACGTGTTGAATCTCTCAAACAACCATCTTGAAGGCCAGATTCCTCCAACATTTTCAGGATTCCCACTAAGCTCATTCCTGAACAATCACGGCTTCTGTGGCCCACCACTGAGATCATGCTCTGAATCCACGGCACAGGGGAAAATGCAGCTATCAAACACACAAGTGGCAGCAATCATTGTGGCCATTGTGTTTACTTCCACAGTGATATGCTTAGTGATGTTGTACATCATGCTCAGGATCTGGTGCAACTGGAGAAAAGTTGCCATTTCGAGTGCAGAAGGTGGCACTGTTGCCCATAAGGCAAGAAATGGAGAGTATTGGAATATGAATTCATTTGGGTTGATTCCTTCACCAGATAAGCAGAATTCAGCAGCATCTTCCTTCTATAATCTTAAAATGGAGACCATGGAAAATGCACATATGTAACATATTTTTCATTAGTTTGGGTTCCAAGCTTTGAGGAACCATTGTATCTCACACTACTTGCACATCCTCAAATGCTAACATCATTTCATTCAATAGAAATACTTCTTCATTCAAAAGCATCATCCTACGGCATTATCTGGCACCAGGAATTCTTTAAGAACGAGTATATCATTACTAAAATTAGCAATATATATTTTATTTAAATAAATATAAAAATAAGTTGAAAATTATTATAAGTACTAAATTTATTTTATTAAAACTAGCGAAAACACGTGATATATTATTTTTTATCATAATAAAAATTATTATTATTATTATTATTGTTATTATTATAATTATAAAATTAAATATAAATATTTTTTAAATTTTATTGTAAGTAGTTTTTATTTATTTTATAGGTATTTTTATAATTAAAAAAATATTAAATTTAAAAAATGGTCAAATTAATAAAATAATTAAATTTAAATAAATGATAAAATAATTATTTTAATTTTAAAAAAACTTGTATTTAAAAGATAAATTTAGAAAACAAATCGCAAAGAAGAATGTGATTTATACACAGGTATAGATATAAATAAGATAATATAATAAAATACATATAGTGTTTATGTTTCCCTAATATATGCAAAACCAATTTAAATTCTATTGAATATACAAAGAAATTATTAGTTTTATTGAAAGGAGGAATACAGTATCGGTTACGATTTTTAGGATTTGTTTAGATATCAAAAGAGATATGTTTTATGGAGAAATTTGTTATATTATTTTGTTAGTTTATAAGTAGAATAAAGTGTAATAAAATATAAATATTTATAATAATGTGATTATGAGTAGTGTTCTTTTGAATTACTATTATGGATTTTTATTTTAATTGGTTTATAGGCTAAACCTATCTTGTGTCATCTAGTGTATTTTGATTTCTTTAATTATTGATAACTAAGTCTCATTCTATTTATCATATTAATCTTATTTGGAGTAACAGCATAGAGACGATGATGTCTTCTGTTTCGGCAACACCATGTAGTCCTATCCAAGACAATAGACGTATATGGAGAAATTTGTTACTTTATTTTATTCATATACTATATATATATATATATATATATATATATATATATATATATATTACAACGTAATAAAATATAAAATATTTATAATATTTGAATCTTAATTTCTTAAATTTAAATAATAACTAAATATGTTTTTATTTTTATATAAGAAATATTTCTAAAATAGAAAGAAAAATTACTAAAAAATAATTTGAATAAAAAATAGTAAGTAAATATTCTTGACAAATGTTCACGCCCATCATGGAAAAAAGACATTTTGACCATTAGATAAATTACTTTTAAAATCAAAGGCATAGATTGTTATATATGCCATGGTACTTTGTGATTTGTATTTTAAGAAAAAAAAAACAAATGTTATGATGCAATGACGTGGATAATATTTTAAATTATGTCGTGAGTCAAAGTTATGTCAAGGAGTGGTTTGCTTAAATGAGATTTTGTAAAATTTTAGAAGAACAATGTATAATAATCGAGCACGAGTACTCTCTAATGCACGTGTTACTATTTAGTTTTGACAAATACAAATGTATTTCTTTGTAAATTTTATTTAATGTAATATATTACTAATCTAGATAAATAATCTTACATTGACGTTAATTTTGAGATGTGATGGTAATATTGAAGAAACATTTAATACAATATTCTTTTAATTCATAATTTATTTTGTGACACGTAATTTTAAAATAGGAGTAAGAGTTCTATTTGGTTAATTTTTGAAAATACAAGCAAATTTGATAAAAAGAAAATAAATAAAAACAAAATAAAGATAAAAGAAAAAAAAATGAATGGAATTTTGTTGTACTAAATAGGATGAAGTCGACATTCACTACTTGAATGGAAATGTTATGTCAAATCCTCATTTCATGACAAGTGTAATACATCAACAACTTGCAAGGACACAGCAGAGCCATGTTTACTCTTCCCTACCCTTGAAGTCCTGCTTCATGTACACAATTATATAATACAAGTTGCTTCATGACCATAATCTACATTTTGTTCCTTGCGTCTTATGTTGAGCAAAATCCATTCATGTTCTCCTTTGCTTTCCAACCCTGTTCATCAGAATTTTACACACTCAAATTATAACTGACTATCCTCAGTTTTCTCTTATCCCCATTCAGGTCACTCCTTAGGATCATCGCAAAATTTCAAGTGAATCTACCTGGGCTCAGGCGCTCCCATATTTAATTGGAAATTTGAATCAGGGCTGCCAGCAATGAACTTGTCAGAATGAGGAAAGGAATTCCCTTGTACTGTTAAATCATCATTTGGAATTAGTGAACTGGTGGTGCTGTGAAAGGAGGACCTTGCACTTGCAAGCCCAATTGAGGATACAGTGCAGTCATTTTGACTTAGCCCACTGAAATTGAAGAATGGTTGTTGCTTTGGAGAGGGAATAGCGTAGTCTTTCTTGGTTAGCATCTGAACTACTTCAGACATGGATGGTCTGAGAGTAACAGTTGATTGTGTACAAAGAAGGCCAGCTTGGAGCGTATTTGATGCTTCGTCTACCGTAAGTTTACCTTGCAGAAGTGGATCAACGGATGCTGTTATATTATTTGCCTTGTAATTCTTCCACACCTGAACAAGAGATAAAATGAGCATGCTACTGCCTGCTAATGAAACTCACTGATACCAATACCAATAAGTTACGGTGTGATTGAGGGATAGTTAATCTTACGCTGTGGAGAAGTGAAGTTGACCCCGGTATTTGATCACTGTTCTTCTTACCACACACAATCTCAACAATTAGGACACCAAAAGCATAGATGTCTGCCTTCTCTGTCAATTGTCCATTGGAAACATATTCAGGAGCCGTATATCCCCTGACAAAAGCAGTTGACTTTAATATGCGACCAGACCAATTGTGTAACACAAGTGAATTTTTTTATTGGAAGACGTTAAAACTTTGTCCATTCTAGTACATATTTTTAAGAGGTTAAGATTCCACAGAAACGTTTTTTCATAAAGGATTTGCAGTTTTGATCATCGCATAGTCTGGATATGAACTATCAATGTAACTATTTAAGAGGTATGCAACTAATTTCAGAATCCTCATGTTTTTACATAAATTGAAATGACAGAACTTTTCTACTTACAGTGTCTTCGAATTTCCTGTCCTAAGATGAGATTTGTTTCCAGTAACAATGCGAGCAAGACCAAAATTCGCTATTTTTGGATTCATATTCTCATCAAATAGAATGTTGCTGGACTTTATGTCTCTGTGAATAATCTTTGTTCCAGAACCTTCATGAAGGTATGCTAGGCCCTCAGCTATCCCACATATGATTTGAAACCGTTTTTCCCAGTTCAGAGCATCTGCTGAGCCCTTACCTGCAAATTACAAGGGATCTATTCTCAATTTTCAAATAAGCACATAGAAAGATAGAAAAGAAGAAAAAAGTAAACTGTATGTGTTCCCTCAATTTCCCCTTCAAAGCTAAACTGAATTGTGCAAGTCAGTAATCAATAACAAAGCTTAAACGCCAAGTCACCAATGAAAATCGTGATTTTCCTCTATGGCAACTTGTAACGAATTGTAAGAACTGACACCAAAGTTCCTATAGACCAACCAAATGTGGTCGATTAAGAATACACAAGATAGTCAAATACAGATGAGCAAATGTCTCTCTGGCCAGTAAAAGGAAGACACTCAAATCATGCTCTGTAAATTATTGAGAAAAAACACCAACTTGGACTAGAATTGCTCAAACTGGACAACTCACCGAAAAGGACTTGATCAAGACTTCCATTGGGCACAAATTCATAAACCAACAGGCTTTCAGGGCCTTCGATGCTGCACCCCAAAAGCTTCACCACATTCTTGTGTTGAATCCCACTAATCAAATTGACCTCATTGAAGAACCCCTCTGTCCATTGCCGTTTATTAAAAGATAATCGTTTAACAGCAACAGTCTTCCCAGTGGGGAGGGTTCCTTTGAACACGGAAGCAGCTCCACCTTGGCCTAATTTGTTTGCGGGATCAAAATTATCTGTGGCGTTCTCGAGCAAATCATACATAAAACTGAAGCCTGCTACGAAGGCAAAATCTGGTGCCAAACCACCACTGTCGCTTACTGTATTAGAATTAGCACATTAGAGAATAGAAAAATACTACAGAAAAAAATATAACCACTGTGGCATTAAACGAACAAGCATTACCTTTTCTACGTGACGACATTCTATGACAGCACATAAATGCAGCAAGGACGATGAGTGAAATCCCTACGATCACCGATAATACAAATGCAACGATCGTCCAGACACCAGGCCTTTCTGAAAACATTTCAAGTTAAAAGTAATTCAATTGTAAAAGAAATAGCAATATCAATGTCCTTTCGTAACTAGCCTGGTGTTGGGATGTATGAATTAAGGCATGGAATTTATAGCTACACCGCATAATGTTATTATAAAAGTTAACAAAATAAACAACTGTACATACACACACACACATTTGGTACGCGTTTACATATATCATTCATAAAACTCAAGGAATATTGGAGGTGATAACACTCTTGCTTCAAGTAATTAAACTTATTATTATTCAAATTCGAGATCGAAAATTAAGATATTATAAAGCGTATCAATTGAACATTCTTAATGGTACTTATTTTATTTTGGATGAACACAGAACATCTGTTGACCTGAAATAAAATGACCAATCTCTTAAATCACCATAAGATTCATTTAGAGAATTTATTGGAATTATCTAACTTATTTTTGCAATACCTATCATTCTCCTAGGTGTAGTTTTGTCATGCCAACTCCCTATTTCAACCTTCTTTTTTTTTCCTTCACTACTGGCCGAAGAAGGAATCTTGTTTGAAATACCTTGTAGGTTTCCACTTTTGCACTTTGCTTCTCCTTTTCTGGTCAGCAGTGTCTTTTGAACCTGTATACTCTTTTTTTGAGGTCTCTCACAAATGCTTCAAAGAAGTTTATGGAAAAAACTACCTTAGTCTACATCTGTTGCGCTTTGTTTTCTTGTCCAAAGTTTCTATGATCACTTGGAAGAATATGATGGTAAAATATCATCAGACAAAAGGATTTCCAACTTGTGCTTATTGTGGTAATTTGTGGAACCTAGTATATATGGAATTCTCAAAGCATTAAAAACTTGTAACTCTTTGGATGAGGCTAGGTGTATTTTTGTAAATGGTATTCAACGGTTTTATGATTTTCTCCATAAACTAACGTCCTTAAACAAATAAATCAGATATTACTTCTTTTATTGTTGAAGTCCAATCAATTGTTGAAGAGTTGAAAATGTTGCTAGAAGTTGATCCATTGAAGGAGATTAAGAAGTTGAAAAATTCTATGTGGTTATGATCCATCATGCCGTCAACTTAGATTTTTAATCATGTTCAGGATCAAATCTTGATTGATCAATAAGTTACATCAATGAAAAGCCTAATAACATGACTACTTGATGCTCCCATCCATACCAGCATAAATATGTTCATGATTATGCTAAATCATATGCCTGTGTCAACTTGTGAAATTGTGAAAGGGAAGGTTGTGGCAAAACGGTGCAGCAGAAATGAAAAATAAATACTTAGCTGAAATTGTTTGTACCTTATTGGCAAGTTCTTGTGTGTCACTTCATCGCTGGGGTGATGTTATTCTTATTGTTTGCTTTCTTATAAATATGTCTTTTTCCTTTTTTGAAAATCATATTCCTTCTACTATTTTTTTTCTACATCTATCTGTGTCTTTGGTTTTGTGTGCTTTGTTCATTATGTGTCCTCAGAGTTGAACCCGAAAGACCCGGTAAACATGTTTTCTTGTAATATTATCGTCTCCAAAAAGGTATCGACATTATTCTTCACAAACTGAAAAGTACTTGTGTACAAGTGTCAACTTTTTTTAAGAGAGTCGTTTCTTTCCTTCGTTCCTATAAAATGCTAGTTATATCCAACAATTTGTACCTTTCCCATTATTTGAACCATTCTCATTCCTCACTCATGACACTCCAAATCAAACCACTCCTCAAAGTTTCTGGTCTCCTTCAAGTCCACCAGAACCATCATCATCCCCTGTGATCACCTGACATTGCAGAACACAAAAGATTGGTTTCATATTACATGGTAAGTCCATTCTTCAAGTTCCTCACCACCAGCTACCCACACCATGACTTCTGATAATGAAGATCTAGTTATCATATTACTCTTCAAAAAAGTACCTGCTCTACCTATAATCATTTTCCAAGTTATCAAAGGTTGTCTCCTTCGGTTTTCTCCTTTCTTATGTATGTCCTTTATAACTATTCCTAAAATTTGAAGAAAGAACTTGATATCTTTAATGATGAGAAACTTGAATGATTGAAATGCATAGTCTTAACCAGAATCACGCATGAGAGTTGGTTCCTTTTCTACCTAAGAAGAAGACAATTTGGTATAAATGTGTTTAAGCTGTTGAAGTTAAGGCAAATGGTAAAGTTGATCGCCTTAAAGCATAATTAGTCACCGAAGGATACACATGGATATAAGTCACCGGATCATTTAGAGCACTTTCAATTTATGTATTGTAACCTTGGTGCATGAAAAAGGGGTTTCCTTGGGGAAATGTTGGACTATTGTTTGTACTAATTGATAGACAAAATGATATGGAACAAAGTTAATTTAAACTATAGTTTCTTGATTACCAGTGACCTCGTATATATGGGTCATACATGATTTTTTTGAAATAATTATAATAGAAGTAAAAGAATAAAATCCGTAGTGTGTGTTACCTGTAGAAGTAGAAGTAGAATCCTTGATGTTAGGTGGTGAAACGTCGTTGTAGAATTTGTGCCTTGAATACCTCAAAATGCAACCAGTGAATAAACTCTTACCCTCACCACTCGGCACACATTCCTGCACTTTCTTCGCCGCTTCGGTCAAGCATATCTTGCACCTCCCTTTGTTCAGCGTCGACCAGCACTGCGCCAGGGCGAAAACCCCATCCCCTCCGTCCACCGAGAACCCACGTTCCGCTGCCTCCTCCGTCACGTTCGACACCGTCGCCGTCACCCGTCTGGCCGTGTCATTCCCCACAGTTGGGCTCACGCAGATGCCGATGTCATGAGTGGGGTCCACGCTCTCACGGATAAAGGAGTAGTCATCGTATCGGACGAAGCAGCCGTCGAGGTAGATTCTGCCAGCTGCCTTGGGCACGCACCGTGACAACACCAGCCTCGCTTGGCTGAAACACATGTAGCAGTCTGCTGGCCTCAGGTCGCGCCGGCATTGGGCCAATGCGTACATGGGAGGCCCTGAACCCAGCAGCGTCTGCGCTCCCCACCCTCTCTCTTTAACCTGAAACGACACCATGTCCATTATGGCCATGAAGTTGGACGCGGAAGACTCAGGGTTCTCATAATCCCCGCACGTGAGACCCGTTTCGCGTATACCCGTGCCGGAGCAGCCCGCACGTGGGATTAACAACGACGACGACAGCAACATTAGGCATAGACAGGAAATAAGGTTTTCAGGAACGTTAAAAAATTGCACCATTGTTTTCTTCTAATTAACAATTGCTCTGCTTTTCCTTTTGTTTGAAAATAGTGAGAATTAAACAAGTAATGATATGGTATTTGGCTCTGATGCCTCGTTATGATTACTCCTTTGTTGCTTTGTAGACATGTCTTTGTCGTGGGGTTCGGCCGTGAAGGTAGACAGGGAGAGGGTATTCCCGATCTTGGTGTAGATAGTCTTCTTGATTAATTTCCTCACAGGCATGATCCCTTCCGGTTTATGAGTTTTGTAGCGAGATAGAAAAAGATTATATAAGAAGAGAGAAAACACGTTGTGCATGCGGAGATTCTGATAAGCGAGAGGAGAAATGAACTGGCTTGGTTTTATGTTTTTCCTTATTTAGGGTTTGCATGACGTAGAAAATAGAGTGGAATAACACCTTCAACATGGCATTCGCTGGCCCTTTTCTCTATCCAGTACACATCTTCTTCAAGCAGCACCACCTCCAAAACTAGTCCTTACAGACTGTACTCCACCCATTAAAAGTGCGTCATGTCAAATTTATAGAGTTTTATTGTTTCGAAGTTTGTTAGGCAGCGGAGATGTATATAAATAGATCTTTATGAATAGAAAAGTGATCAAATCCTTCACTTTCAAGTATACTGCATTCTAGCCTAGAAGAGATGTAATATTATTTCATTAGACCACTTTTACACTACAAAGATATTCTTATAGAATATTATTCTTACAGTTTAATCATAATACATAATCTTTAAACACTACAAAAATTTACAATTTTAATAGGGGTTATTTTTAGTGTTACCGGGGGTTTTAACCCCCGGAAAATGTAATTCCCGCGGTTGTAAAAACTCCCGGGAAAAGCTGCTTCGGTAAAGAATTACCGGCGGTTTTTTCAAAACCGTCGGAATTTGCGGGGGTTTTGCGAAAACCGCCGGGAAAGGTAGGGGTTCTTTCAAAACCGCCGGGAATGACAGGGGTTTTGCAAAACTGAGTTTATAAACCTCTGATACTAACCGGGGTTCTAAAACCGCCGGAAATGTATATATATATATTAATTTCTTTTAGTATTTTGATAAAATCTTCTTGGATCCTGATTAACATCTTATGTGATACTTTTATTGGGATTAGGTGTCGTAAGAATGAAACAATAGTGTCAGGATTGGTGCAACTGACCCAAATCGAATCTTTGATATCAATTACCATTAAATTGGATTAGATTTGTCTACATTTGTCCTTATCAAACAATAACACTTACTCATTTTTAATTCATTCATTAATGCATGATAATCAGAGGCAAATGTAATAAACCACTTTTGTTTAGTTGATAAAAAAATATATGAAATAAAAAGAATTAGCTGACTTTTCAAAATTACTAATATATGAAAAAATAATAAACCACTTTAGTTGTCATGAAAAAAAAATGAACCCATGAATATCAATAATAAAATCAAAAAAATGAAGACCCAGAACCATTTTTCTATCAGGGACAAACCAGCCTATAAAACAATCACCAAAATTGAGAAAATAATGTTAGTTACATTGTGATTCAACGTCCAAAAAGTTTATCAGAATAAAGATAACTAAAATTCTGATAAATAAAAATCAACTCATAACACTAGAACTGATTGACCAAGCTAAACATCAAAATCAACCAGCCAAGTAAGCAACTTTGAGATGAATTCTCTCTTTTTTCAACAGTAATTTCTACTTTTTTCTCACCTAAGTTCCCTAATTTCATTTCCATCATGTGTCTTTAAATGGTTAAATGGTACTCTAAACACCTGGTTCGTTAGGATCAGCAGGCTGCAATTCTTTAGTGGCATCATCATCTTCCTCATTCATCCTGCTATTGGACAAAGACTGACCTTCTTCATTGGACTCAGAATCACCATTAAAACACTCGAGAGATGACGAATTGGATGCATTCTCAAGCCAAACAGTTCCTTCTCAAGCAACCATAAACCATGTATAAGACAACATTCCCAATAATCTCTATTAAAACTTAAAAAAGATAAGTTGATATAAAGTCATTAACTAAATAAGAAACCAGATGACCAATAAGAAAACTATTGATAAAAAATATGCAAAAGAATGCCTTAATGAAATATGCAAAAGAATGCCTTAATGAATTGGAAGCCTTAAAGAATGCCTTAATGAAATTATTGATCTAAATTGTTAACCTACATTGTACAATTTTCCTTAATGAAATATGCGAACATCTAAAATCAGAGGTTGAGATTCCCTTTGAAGCAATCAAGAAAATATATCACTACTCAATAACTAGATATTAAAGTAAATATATTTTAAAAAATAGCAATTGATATAACCCAAATCCTGCACTAAATATATATATACATACATGGTTTGGTTCTTCACGTGCTCATCTAAAATTTAGAGGGATAGGAATCTTATATGCCATAAGATATGAAACATGCCAGACCAATTAAAAGCATGGAAGGTGTGGCCAATTGACACAGGTGCACGACTTAGGTGAAAAACATGCTAGACCAATTAAAATCAATAACTTTAATTGGATTAAAATAAATGAACAAAAGAATGCCTAAAGTATGGCAACATACAAAAGTAAACAAGGTCCAAGAAGGAATAACATTCTGCACTCTTAAAGCTATTTCATATCAGACACATGAATTAAAATAAATTTAAAGAATTATTTGTTAGAAATCACTCACCTGTTCTGGAAATGCACTCAAACCAAAATCTGAAATTTTAATATTTCCTTGTGAATCAAGTAAAAGATTTTCAGGCTGCAGCCAAAAAACAATACTAATTAGCATAAATCATGATAAATATGAAGACAGAATTCTAGAACTCATTCAACACAAACCTTTAAATCTCTATGATAAACACCTTTACTATGGTAATAATTTACACATCAATAAGTTGTTGGAAGTATCTTCTACAGTCAGCTTCGTTGAGACATGAAGAAAGCTTACCTACAACATTACTTTATTTATTAGCAACATCAATACTAAGAAAATTATTGATAAAAGTCACACTAAAAGCTTATAGCATAAATCCACCTTGAGCTACTCACAATTTTATCAAACAATTCATCGCTGTAATAAACTCCATATGATATACATCTTAGTACGAATAGCTGAGAACCTGAAAAAAAAGTCCATATATCAAAGAATAATGAGTTGTGAGTATTGAGTGACGATAGCCAACAAGAGAGAATATTAAAAAACACTTATCATAGAAAAAAATGTACACATAATGCACCTTCCTTCTGTAACATTCCCAGGGGCAAAAGTGTACCAAAAAACCAAGACAGATTCTGAAATGATTTTCCAATATTATTCCTCTCCTCTGATCTATTAATGAACGAAGATTTCTATAATAAGATTATGTGTAAAAAATCACCTACCATTGAACATAATTAGCAATTGATAATAACAGTTTTGACTTACCACTTCCTGCTATGTCACTGTTGTTCCTTGTGGTCTTTATTTTCCTATAAAAATCACAGATAACCACTCAGATCTTTGGTTACTTCTATTCAATTAGAATAGCCACAACCAACACTCATTCATTTTAATAAATCCTAATATGTGAAATTACATGAAAGGGAAGGGAAGGAACAATGTCTTGCATTGCACATATCATTGGAAGTTTGATTAAAAATAAGAGCACAAGATTAGCATTATTGTACAAATAGCATATAAAGGGGAGTTTTGATGTGTTTATTGAACGTGATAATGTATCACTGTGCTAGTTTTGTGTTTTGTATTATAAATTTAACGTGATTTTCTACTTTTGTTATTAAAAAATCGTGCTAGATTTCCATATATATATATGTATGGCATTTGGGAACTTGTTTAAGTTCTTCCTCTAAGAACAAAAAATGCTAAAAGGTGGAGCCAAATGAGTTTGTGATGAACTAGTAATCCACAAACATATATATGAAAAAACCAGAAACCTACTACTAAGCAACTGTCACTCACTCATGATACTGATTGGTAATAAAAGTCTACCCCAGTATCAGGTTTTAGGTTGAGTGGCCCTTTTATTTAAAGTATCTAATCTCTTATACACAGTGCAGTTTACGAGAGTTTTCATAAGAGGGAATAATAGCTTATTTTCACTGCAAAAAATAGGTTAAACAATTTGAATAAAATAAAAAGATGAACCAAACAAATAGTTTCTTTTTGGCTCGAATAATCATGAAAATTAATTCAAGATACCAAAGAGCTCTTAAGGTGAAATTTAAACCCAAAGATATATGGTATGGATCTTTATTAGAATCAAGTTGTTAGAAAAGGAAAAAGTCTTTGCCTTCACTTCAGAGAAAGATCACAAACCTTCTGTCAATTTGAGAATGTCAACGCAAACCAGGAGAGAGTGAATCAGGCAAAAGCTTCCAATAATGGTGCCAGAATTTGCAAGTCTGACCTGCTGAACGAAGTGCTGCCAAATTCAGGGTTAAATACATTTCCCATACAAATATTTTCTTGCAGTAATCTATATCATGGAAATCTTAGCTACTTCACCTAAAACCAATTGTTTAACCTGAGAAAAGCAGTGGATCATGATATGATCGTTTCAAATTCATCGTAGATTGGTATCTATCTGTTGATGAACCTTGCTAGAATGCTCTGATAGAAACATTTTTTTCCGAAATCACCACCAATCAGACCCATTTGATTCATCAACCACATGTTCCTCCCACTCACAGGCACCGATCCCCAACCAATCAGCTTCCCAACACCCTTGGAACTCAAAATCCCTTTCGCAACCTTAATCCTCGCATCCCTAAAGGGAACCAATTCTCCCTGGAGAAGCCAACACATTTCTCCTTAGCCACGACGAAACAATCCGCCATCTTCCACACTTCGTACTCCTCCTGTTCCTTTAGATTGTGAAGTGTGAGGCCCACTAGTTTGACCTAGTGGTTGGATTGAAGTATTTTACACAAACTTACAAGTTCAAACCTTATACTGCATACCAAAAGAACATATTGAAGAGATAACATGAACATACCAGGGAGTATTTGAATTTGAGGGGTTGGAGACGGAAGTGATAAAAATCGCCTTCAGCAGAGTCCTCGTCGCCTCGTCGCCTCAACCTTGCCGTCTCGACCTCGCCGCCTCGACCTCGACGCTTAGCCCAAGCAGGGGAAGACACTCCACGAACACGAAGCAGGGGAAGATTGTGGTGTGGGGAAAGGGTTTGGGGGAAAATTTGATGAATGTAGTGGGAAGAGATGCTCCACTAACACAAAGCAGGGAAGATTGTGTTGCGGGGATGGGGTTTGGGGAAATTTTTATTTATGTTTTTGGGTTGGTTGGTTTTTATTTTGGCACATTTAGGGAATTAGAAAGAAATAAAGTATGGAAGGGGTAATATTTAGTGATTACCGGCGGTTTCACTAAATAACCGCCAGAAATATTCGGGGTTTTTAAAACCTCCATAAAATAACCTCTTCTAAAATTAAATAGTTTTGTAGTGAAATAACCCTTACAAATTTTACTATAGTAATTGTTGTGAATATATGGTTGTTAATGTTGAAAAAATATTTTTTTTATCAAGACTTAAGATTGTATTATTAGATATTTGTGTTTTGTTGTGAAATGTAAGTCCTGATGATCGTCGATACCAAATACTAAGTGTTGAAAACTTTAATGGCGTATATACATTTAAAATTAATTGACAAGTCATAGAATCAGCGCGATATATGCATCTTTAAAAAAGATAGACACTGATCCGGGAAAAAAAATGTTTTTAACAACTCATTTTTGTCGGTACTCGTTGAAAACAGAGTGTGTGTGTTCAAAGTAACTTCCTTATACTCTGATTGAATGGTAATGAAATAAGGTATGCATAATGAAATTTGCAACATGTATATACTGAGTGTGAAAAGGAATTGTCTCGGGTTAAATTTTGAAGCATGTCAAGATCTGGCGACATAATTTTTCATGCATCGGTGAGTGAATCAGATTCAGAAGTTGTTTGAGTAAAATAACATTACCCTGCATCCTGCGCTTTTGAATAATGTTCGAGTAAGCCTCTATAGATGGGGAACACGGAATACAAATCAAAACTCACTCTCACTCTCATTGTATGACCACCGTCTTCAGCAAAAAAAAAATGGCATTTACATATGAAACACGTTACCCATTTCACGATGACAGTCTCACACACTATACATATCCTACTTTTGAAATCTGATTGCTCGTCATCCACAATACCACATACGTCAATAGTCCTGTACGCAAAAAAAAAAATATCAATTTCTCTCCAAATGGTAAATGATTCCTTAAAAGGAAAACAAGAGTCTCATTGTTTTCACTTCATATCTTAATTTAAAATATTTTAATAAAAAAGTAAAAGCACTGACATTTTTCTGTAAATATTTTAAATAAAGATTTAGCCACTAATATAATAATTGTATGATTGGCTCTCCTAATACTATAACTGTGTAATTTTAATTCATCAATTTATTCTAATAGTTAATGTAAATAAAGTTTAGAGAACTTAAGTTATACTGTAATTTTTTTTTTCGAAAACAGAGTCTTTAGTGCCAGTACCTTCTAATACTTGATTATGTGTTGCTCCTGACGGTATGCCAACTGTAAAATTTACAGAAAGAGTATGAAAAACCACTAAGCATTATTTTATGTATTTTTCTTTGAAAGAACTGATGATTAATTAGGGAAAAAGTTGGTAAATGGAGGAACCTGAATCACAGTTGGAGGTGGAGTTGAAGTCCCCGCACATACAGACCTGTCTAATCCCATCGGAACCATAGCCACAGGTGCCACCAGTGGCTTCACAGGCGCCACAGAACTCATCATTCCCCTGCAGGGAGTACCTAACACGGATCCCGTAGGACCACCCGCCTGGCCCATCAACCTTAAGCGGAGCGACGCTATAAGCACTGCTATACCCTTCACACTGAAGCTTGGTGAGGTTAATCTCCCTAATAGCCTGATAGGGAACGGCACAGCACTCAAGTGGGCCGGAGCCGAAGAAGGAGGCGGGGCCAGATCTCTTGTGGCCCATCATCTCCCAGGCGGGGCAGGAAAGGTACTCCTCGCAGCCCATTCCGGAGACGTTGCGGCAGGGGAGGTGTTTTCCGGGGAAGCCCTGGAAGAGGGGGGAGCGGGGGGAGCAGGCGATGAGCATGAAGACGTTGTCGGCGGCGGGGTTCATGTAAGGAGCCCGCCAGGGTTCGACAGAGAAGCCGTTGCCACGGGATCCGAGAACGAGGTTGTGGCAGGTAGACATGTGAGGCTCGTGAAGCGTGAGGGCCTGGTAGGCGTAGTCGATTTCGAGGACCCTGTAGGAGCCGGAGCTGACGTGGAACATGAGAACCTCGTTCATGCAGAAAAGAAGATCGCGGAAGCCAGGGTGGCCGCAACCGTATTGGAGTGCGAAGGGGTAGTCTATGGTTATGTTGCCGCAGTATGAACGGCATGTGTTGGGGTGGCACCAACTAAGAGGGATTGTATATGCTGCCCAGAGAAACCACACTCCAAACACCAATGAACCCATGCTTCTCAATACTACTCTCGCTACTACTGAGGGACTAGACTACTCACTGCAATAGTTCCTTGCTTCGTCAGTTACGTGATGATTATGAGCAAGCTTTATTTTGGTGTTGCGGAATCTAGATGAATTGTGTGGGGGTTTTCCTTCGCTTTATGTTGGGGTAGGGACCACGGATATTGTTGTTTTTATTTTACTCGACATTTTGGTGGCTTTTCCATTTCTCCCTACCTTTGCTTCGCTTTCCCTGCATCCTCTACAATATATACTGACTTCTTTAGAATCCAATATCTTTATAAGGTTACTTGTACAACAAACTATACAAAGAAAAAAAGAGAAAAATATTAGTTAACATGATAGTCATACTAAGAAATAAAATGTTTATATGGTTCGGATGGTTTATAAATAACTCCATCCTTTATTCATCAGATATAATTAATCTCC